GATTGTGTGTGCTTGTATGTTTAAAAAAATAAATAAAAATAAAGTTTAAAAAAAAAAAAAAAAAGTGCATCAGTTGGATAGTTAATTTGTGCGGACACACCCACTTTCTGACTAATGTCTTGAAAACTTTTCTCAATGATAGTATTTGGACAGGACACGTGGAGTTCTCTGCACTAGGACACTTTCTTTCTGTAAATATAAGATGGAAGTAGAAGCCATCTTTTAGCCAGATTACCAGCAGTACATCTAACGTATGTTAGAAGAACAGCATTGGATTACTTCAGCTTTTCCTTCCTGGTATTTTTCATTTCATTTTACAAACGTTGGTACATCCTTATATCTGTGACATGCCCATTGCAATCAAAATAACTTAAAAGAAGCCAAAGTATTGAAATCTTATGTGTGCAAACGACTAACTGTTCTTACAAATATCCTGTTTCGGGTACATTTCTGTGCGTTTTCAATTTTTTCAAAAATATTCTGTAACTAAAGTGAAGTAATGTGTAAAAAGCAGAAATCAATGCTGGAAATCCTGTTGGGCAACCTTGGCTTTATCTTCACAATTAGCTGCAGCTCAGGTTGGTTTACCAGTATGATTAAATTATTTTCAACCTTGCTGAACTTGATTTATGGACTTGAACTGACTATGGTAAGCACAAGTGACCAAAATAGTCTTGATTGTTCAGTTAAACTCACTGAACAACCTTTGGCTCTTTCACAACCTTTAAAACCAATACATGTAATTATATAAAATAGCAACCAGGTGCCTTTAGGGCCTGAAACTTGAAAGCTCTAAAGACAAACATCTTGTTTTTTTGTTAGTATTGTTCTACAGGTGAGGTAACATTCAGCCATGTTTACATATAAAACAGTCTGAGAGTTCAAGGGCTGACCGTGCAGATCCGACAGCAGAAAGCCATGGGAGGGACATGGCTCTGGGTCAAATCCATCCCCTATTTTCTAACCAAGTGTTGCCATTTTACCCTTTGTTTTGTTTTACACCAGTAAAACAGACAAGTTGCTCCATTCATATTTTTCACTATCGTTTAATTTTTCCTTGAATTACAGAATAAATAATCATAAAACTTCATCAAGCACTCATATAATTTATGATTATTACAATCTCTATCTATTAGAGTTGAAACAATTACCCAAGTTAATCTTGATTAATCCATTATTAAAACAATCAACTACTTTGCTAATCGATTAAATGACTTTAGCCGACAGGGGAAGCCACTTAGAGTAGTAAGTATACTAAAATTGTAAAAGAAATTTTAAATTTAAGATAAAAAAAAAAAAAAAAAACTTTTCCTCTGTCTGTATGCTCTATCTAGAACTAGTTTAACTTAGTTTAAACTCTGTAAAAACTCTTTTTTTTAAATTAACCACCTGCTATCTAATTATTAATCGGTTCATTGAAAGGAAAAAAAATGATTAACAGAATAAAATCGATAAGCAAAATAATCGTTTGTGGCAGCCCTATTATCTAATAATTGTAGTTCTTCTGATCCATAAAAACAAAATAATAGCTTCAAGATAGACATTATATAACTACATGCCCTAACAGTCAGCTGGGGTTGCCCTTATACAGTGTTTGGGAGCAGTTACCCGACATCTTTTGGATGCATCCCTGCTCCAACACACCTGAACCAGATATCCGATTTTCCTCGTCAGCAAGTCATCAACTCTGCAGATGTCTGGTAGTAAGACATTCAATTGATGCTGACTGTTGGAGGAATGCATCTAAAAGCAGCAGGATCCCCTGCAGCAGACTACGGGTAGATCATAGAAAATCTATTTAGGTGTCATGTAGCTGACAGCTTTATTTGGCACCTGAAAAAGTTGCATACAAAATGATCAAAACTGCGAAGTGCAAAAAAAGGTGTGAGATCAACAACATAAAGTTCACTTTCTGAATTATTCTTAAGTCAATTTTTGGAGTGACTTTCTTCCAAAAATAGGAACAGGTAACTATTAATTTAAGACTATAACAGTTGTTTCCTTCATCTCCAGATTGCTGCAAACTAAAAATCAAACGTTTCCTAAGATGGCTCTGTACCCATCTATGTTACAAAAGGAATTTCAGTGCAATATACCACAAACAAGGATGTATGACAGAATCTGAATTAGACATGGGTTGGGTCAGATCACTGATCACAGCATCAAATCCGTCAATCTCTCTCAGCTGCTGTTCTGACATTGATTTCCTGCTGCTACTGTCTGAGCTCAGAATGCCGTCTGCTCTTCCCTCTGCTCCCCGGGTGATTCCTCCCTGTTCTGGGCACTCTGACTAAAAAGAAAACATGGGGGAAACGCAGGAGACAGACGCATGTCCACTCAGAGAAAAACTCATCAATGATCAGTGCTTAAAAATCCACCAGCTGGTCGCCAATCGTGGCCAATCACGTGAGAATCAGCCGATTTCCGCGCACTGCCGATTGAACGGTGCAAGTTTGATTTGAATCATCTTAAACTGGCTGGATTTTACAGTTGTTTGGAACTGGGTCTCTTCATAAATGACCTCAAAGGAAGTGAACTGAAAGATGAAGCGTTACCTGATATAATGCATGTAAAGTATAATGACAATTACACTACGGGATGGAAAGGGTTCAAAGCTTTTTGACAGCAGCTACAACATTTAAGTGGATAAACATAACAAATCAAAAAGCACTGTCTACGACATTAGCTTTATTCAAACCCATTAGTGTAAATAAGTGTATACCTGTGGGTTGGGTCACAGGCTCTTGGCTTTCGGGTTCTTTGTGCTTCTCCATCTGTTCCACACAGCTCTTTTCTACCTTCACCTCATCATCATCATCCAACACCTCCTCCATTGCCTTTTCAAGCTGATCACTTCCATTCCAGGACATCTGGGGAAAAGAAAAAAAAGAAAGAGACAAAATAGCTTTAACGATTTAGGGACTTCACCGTACATTTGGTAGAGGTAACTAAAAGCAGAGGATAACCTGACCTTGGAGATTGTTTGTTCTGCTTTTTATTCTACACCTGGTTTGGTAAAAGATTTCTGACTAATATTGTAGTTCATGGTAATGATCAGGAAAAAATGGTTAAAGAATTGTCCAGAGCTCGTTCCTGACCTTGAGTCTCGGTCTGCCCTCAGAGCTCTGTGGTGAACCGGCCAGGCTGGACTGAACCAGAACAAACTCTTCACTGGTGACGGTGGCCACGGACTCGGTTGAGCTGCTGACTTTACCCAGTGAGGAGCTGTCATCCATGGCTAGCAGGGTAACTCAGGATCAGCTAAGGGAGACCAGGGGTGTTGTTCTCCCCTTCTCTCCTGTCAGCCCAGCTGAGTTGGATGGCAGCCTGAATGATAAACAAACAGAACCAGGTTATATAAAGTGAGCCTCACATGAAAAGATAAACAGCAGAGAGGCAGCTAAAGAAGGTTTTGTTTTGGGGTTTGTTATTTATTGTAAGACTTCTTCAAACAGACTGTATATTCTATCTGCACACATGTGAATTTCCTTACAGTTTTGTATTTTAAACAACCGTTTTTAGTATTGATAACGCTGATAACTACTGCCTATTGTGAAATCATAGTAAAAGGTCATGCTGAAACCCAATGAACCAGTTTGAAATATTAAAGTAGGAAAGACTGGCTTCACTGTGACCAACAAACCTGTTTCATCAGGAAAAGCTACTACTTCCATAAATTAAATGAGCGTTATAATCTTATCAATATGTAATAAAGATATTCAGCAGCATAATTCCTAAGGTTTCCTTTCAATCAAAGCCTCTGAAAGTCAAGCTGGCTGATTAATAGGATCACTGAGTTTAAATTGAATCCATTTTATGATAAAAAATAATGTTCAAAAGTAACCTTATGTATAACTGATTGAATGTTGCTCAATTCATGAATAAACCTGAGGCTTACTTTACAAAACCAAAGTTAAGGATTAAGCTTGGATTTTGCAGCTAGCCTGCTCCAGACCAGGCGTCTTATCTTTTCAGTCACACTGATCAGAAAACAATTAAGTATTACCAATAAAGCTATTTTCGTATCTGCTATTTTTTTTTTAATCAGCCTTCATTAAAAACCGCTAACATTATTTAGTGAAGTATTTTAACATTATTTTTGTCGCCTATACTCTTATAAACTATAAAATTTCCTATGTGGACATATTTGCTGTTCAATTTGACTGAAAGGCCTGTAATGGATCATTGTTGTGTAGAAGGGATTAGAGAAACGGCTGATACAGTAAAGTAGCTCCAAAGATATGCGTCTCTCTTTAAAATGACATGACCATATTTGAAATTTCCCCCCGCCATTAAATGCATGAGCGTTACTGCTTTCCTGTGGATGGCACCTCTACAATATCAGACGTAACATGAATTAAGCTACACATTAACAAAAGAAACCTCATAACAGAGGGACTAACATTTTTTTAACAAAAGATTTATTAATACAATTCGTCCAATGTGCTAAACTCGCATTAAGAGAAAATGCCCCTTTGAAACACATTAGGAGGATTTTATTAACATAAGATCTGGTAAGAGTGAGCAATGGTTAGCCCTGTTAAATCCATATATTTCTATGTTCATTTAATCACCTGAACACATCTTATGATCTATGAAGCCGTTTGCACCTTCGGGAAGATGACCCAGCTCATTTTTAACTCTTAAACGTCTTCCTCTTTGGTTCTCTTCTAAAATACAGCTTCATTTCTTTTAAGGAGCAACTTTTCACTTCCAGAGACAGTGGGTCACCCCCTGCATCAGACATAGAAGCTTTTCTTACATCTAAAAATGGTAGGGGTGCACCGATTGCAGTTTTCCGGCCGATTTCCGATCACCGATCTTTAAAAAGTCTGNGGTGCACCCCTAAAAAATGGTAAAGGATCCAATATGTGTGCAGATAACTGATCAACTAAAAGTCTGCAGAATGTTCTCATATTTCATCCTAACCTGCTGCTAGGTCCTTTTTGGTCCAGACGTATCTGTTTTGTGTGAAAAGTGAAAAGAAGTGTAACAAAAAAAAAACTGTGATAAATCCTATCAGTTGTTCTGCCAGATGCAAATCATGGTGTACCCTGCATTTGATCCCAGAGCTCCTGTATTCAAGTCAAAGACAATAACTCACCACAACGCAGAGGGACTAAATACCAGGATAGAAAAAATGTATTTCAAGATCTGCACATAAAAGTACTTGAGTCCACTGTTTATTTTAAAGTTATTTTTATTAGAGGAAAATGACAAGCAACTCCTTAAATTATGATATTTTCAGTAAATGATCATATAATATTTAGACTGTTAAGGTGTTTAGTTAATCTGCTATTGTTTTGCAAATCAATTGATCTGTAATTGACCTCATGGCTTCTGGAAAAGCAAGCAGATGTGCATTTTGCTGGATTATTTACACCTGAGCCACACTTGCTGAACCTGTGTGAAACATAAGATAGGATGCTCTGATGGTGCTACATATAGCCTAGATTTATCGGTCACCAAGGATTTATTCTTTTAGCTTTTGTGAAACAGGTTCAACATTGATTATAAACAAACACAGAGACATTCTTATTCAGCTGCATCACACCAGAAATATAATCGTTAAGTTTATTTATTTCAGTAAATAAATCAAATTGCAACCATTATTATGTAGATGTGGATCAATAAAGATCCTTCTTCTAATTCTTATTTAGCTTTTTTTTAATTTTCAGGTGAAATTTTTGGGTCAGCCGTGAGACATGATTTAATAAAAATAAACAAATATGTTGCACTGTGTGTATGTGATCTATGGTTCCCACTTTCTGAATAGATTTACTGATATAAACACATTTTCAATTTACAATGAACATGAATGAGACATTAAAATGAACTCCTGAAGAAAATTGTGAATCTTATACAATAGAAATGAAATATGAAATGCTAAAAAAAAGTTTACATCAACTCAACTGAAATGTATTCATCTAAAAAGTTTGACCTTTGTAAACATAAGAGGAGATTTACTTATAATAAGCCAGTTTGCACACGTTATGAAACAAGTGTTGACAAATCCTTAATAAATGTGCAGTAATACACCCTGTTAATGTTAGAGACAGTTGCTGGCTTATCATGTTGAGTCAGTAAAGCAGCAAACACGCCTTTATGGACCAGCGGCTAATGAAAGGCTGCTGCATTACAAAATTAAAAGCTTCATTTGAGTTCCTAAATCTCAGTGGTTTACCAATATATTTCTAAAAATGCATTTATTGCTCTGGCTAAGAGCAATAGGACAGAAAGGTAAAAGTCAGTCATACTGATTGAGGAGGTGGAGGCCAGAGCTACATCACTCTGAGGGGGGAAATAGAAGTAGGTTATGTAAACCATTTAATATAAAGCTTTAAACAAGAAAAATTATGTATCGAAATGACTGTGATAAGAAAGCAACAGTGGTAACAAATCATTTCTGTGACGAACGCTTTCATAAAAACATTCCAGTTGTATACAGAAATCCGCATACTTAATAATAATTGGGAACAATATTGGAAATAATTGAGAATTTGGCAACACCGATACTTTAATAGTAGAGATTCACCATTGGATCAGCCACAATAAAAACCTGCTTATTTCTTTCCCATTTATCAAACGGATCACAACTAAGAATTCCCAACATTTTGACACAAGTCACAGACTGCTTTAAAAAGAAACTAAAATACATTTTTCTATCATAAATTTGTCTTAGGAAAAAAATAAAAAAATAAGTGAAAACAAAAACGAACAAAAACTTAAAAAAAAACCCAAAAAAATCAAAATCTAAATTCTGATCGGTGCCGTTCTAGTTTTAACAATTTAACCTATTTTTTTATTTCAACCTTCATGTAACAAATTAATATTTAGTGAAAACTCATAAAGACGAAGCCATGCAAGGAAGAATCAAGCAGCACTCAAAAAAAGCTAAACAATTCAAGAAATGTTATTTCTGCCTAATTTTCAGAGATTAAGCAGAAAACATTAAACACAGTCACTATAAAAAAAAAAAATTACAATAAATGTAATTACAACTACTGAAGATTTTGAATAAACTTGTCTTTAAAGGCGCATCAGGAAGTTTTAGGCAAACACATATAAACAGTCAAAGAATTGCAGAAAGGAGCCTTTCAGTCACAGACGGTGGCCTGACCACATGAACACAGAAGGCATTCATACAGTAACTACTATGCAAATGATCCACAGGGCATCTGAACAGACACTAAAATGTCATGTGTTCAAATCACACATATTCCATTATAGGAACATCAGACCGCCCCCCATAAAAAGAAAACGAAACAAGAACACAGCATCCGTTAACTTTTAGAAGTTCCTGTTAAAAGCAACTATTCAGATAAGAGATTCATTTAACTAAACTGCATTTAGACGATCAGCTGCTTTCTAGTCTCCAGTTTATATTAAAGTTTAAAACCAGAACGTAAAATTTTTCTATACTAGAAAAAGAAAAATCAAGATCTAGATCATTGTTTTCCTAAAATAAGTGATTTTTTTCTTGAATTGAATAGGTAAAAGAAACAATTTGCCAAACGGAACGAGACAATTTTCATTTGAAATAAGACAACACCACATTATCTTATTTCAAGTGCACGTTATCTAATTATCGTATTTTAAGTGTAAAAATACTCATTCCATTTGCAAACTATCATATTTACATACTCAAATTAAGCGTAAATACACTTAATCTAAGATTTTTTTTACTTATTTCTAGATCGTTTTTCCAGTGTATATTCATGTTAGCATTTTCTCCATGGACAACTTTCTTTCTCTGCCCAGCAAAAACTCTTTATATCTACCGGTACATCTTAATGCTGAATTTCTTGAATATATTGTTTTAAATTGATTTCTATGTTATGCTCTGTTGGCTACAGAGAATGTACAGATGACCACCTCTGGATTACTAACGGTTTCATGTTATTTCTTTAAGTAAGAAGATGACTGTGCAGAGGAAGCACATCTCACAGTCTCTTACACAAACAGCTGAGTCACAGAGTAAATGCAAAACCTCCTGTTATTTGACAAAAACATGCATTACACAAAATTGTTCAAAGAAAACTACATAATATATTTTAATTTGTATTCACATGAAACCTATAACTCAGAGTGGGCATTCCCTTTCTTTTTTAAACAAACACGTTATCATCATCATAGTAACTGATTCCACTCAAACATTACATCATCAGTTTCATCCCTTCTAGTCAGAAGTCAAACCAGAGATAGAGCAGAAAGTTTGTACCCGGTCATTAGGAGTTGGTCTCTCAAGCTCAGAAGCAGCCAGCTAGCTGACGTGCTACAAGCCACCGCCTGTATGGAACCAGTAAAAGGAGGGCTGGTTGGTAAAGAGGGCCAAGTTGCTTCCTTACTAAAGGCTGCACCTTTAAAGCAGAGGCAAATAACCAGATTCACAAAGTTGTTAATGCAGAACAAGAGGAAGGAGCCAAAAATAAGGCAAGGCAGACACCGTGGACTGAATGTAGTTTCCCTGCCATCCAATGAGTAAGCCTTACACACTCTCTGGACTGTGAGCAGCAGTTTAAGTCATTTAAATTCCCAGTAAAAAGATTTAACACTATGAAGCTTCTACTGGGGGGGAAACTAAAATAGTCATAAAAACACAAAGGATTTTACTGAATCAATCTAAGTTTTATCATCACACTTTGCCCTCATTTCTATGGGTCTTTCTGTGCTGCTGGTCCTCTTTATAACATGCTGTGTGGTGTTTTATGTAGGTAGGAGCCCTGAAGAACGGAAGATAAGGGAAATCTCATGAAATTCATATGGCTTCTATTCTAGCTGCAGATAATAGAGCCAACATTGGGAAGATAACAGTTACTTCTCCTGCTCATCACGGTGCTGACCTCCCTGAGAACTTCATCTGAGGACTTCAATGTTTATTTGCAGTATGCCTACATTGAGAAGGGTTTTAGAAACATACACTTTACCTTTAATTTGATTAACAGCAACTCAAAAATAGAGATACACTAAGCCAATTTTATGATGAATTTCACAACTGTTCCTGAAGCCAAGTCAGCCCCAACTTTCTGGAAACAGACAGATTCTGCAGAGGAAGCTGAAGATCAGGGTGTTGGAAAAGAGGCTTTCCAAACTCCAAGACACTAAAACCTCTAATGGTAATGCATCAAACTTGTTGAGCAGACCATTTTTCATCAAACTGATAATTAACTTCCAGTCACCAGATGATTTTTAGTAGACTGTCCTCAAGAAGTAAGAAAAAGTAATATATCAACAAGCCAAACTTAAAGAAATATATATAATTTGTATTGTAAGATGCAACCCTTTTAATGGGCTGTCAACTTTTTTTTGTCTATTTTGTTCTCCAAAAACTCAAAAGATGTCAAAGTTGTGCCACACTGTGCATTAAAATTTTATAGTGAGGTCAATTTAGAGCAGATGGCCGCTCACACTGAGCCTGGTTCTGCTGGAGGTTTCTTCCTGTTAAAAGGGAGTTTTTCTCTCCACTGTCGCTAAGAGCAAGCTGTGTGAGTGATTGCATTTGAGTCAATGCAATCAACTGGTTTTCCTTAGATAAAAAACTTTGAATCAATTTGACTGGATGATCTGGTTGAACTGTAAAGTGCCTTGAGATGACTTGTGTTGTGAATTGGCGCTATAGAAATAAACTGAATTGAATTGAAAAAGAGCTGGATTATTGAAACACTCATAAACTAATCTAGTAATCAATGAATCGTTAATTAGAGTATATAGACTCTAAAACATGCTTTTAGCTGGCAGAGCAACCCACTTAGAGCAGTAGTTTTAGTAATTTTTAGTAATTTTAATTTTTAACAAGATTGTAAAAAACATATACAGTATAAATATTTTGGACTCGAAAAAAAAACAAAAAACGCTTTCATCTGTTTTATTTCTTTGAAAAAAAATCTTCTTTAAGGAACCATTGGCTAACCAATTATGAATCGATTGATTGGAAAAATAATTAAGAAAAATTCTTTGTTTGTTGCAGCCCTAATGTCAAATATCACTTGTGTGACTCTAGCCGACAGGGTGCAGCCAATAAATGTTGAGCAATAACCTATAGTATTTAGAGTGTACATTTGAAAGCAACATACAATTAAATCCATAGTGGACTTTAAGTTGATCATTAACAGCTTGAAAAAGTGCAAACACAGAGTCACTTATTAAGCAAACTAATAAGTTGCAAACATTCATATCTGATTTTTCCTGATGCAGTAATCAGCAAAGATGCATTTAAAAAGACATAAAGGAAAAGAAATGATACATTAATGTTACATTTACTTGAACAGCTGGAAAAAGAATTGGATATTTTAGGCAGAGGAAATCTGCTTGCTTCTTTTAAGTTTTACCCTGAGATTCCCTCATTATTCCGGCTAACAACATGAACTACCATTAAACACCAAAGAACTACACTGCAAAAATACAAACAGTCACCTTAGGGCTAGATAAGTGCTTGCTATTTTAATTAGAGTCAGGTTGAGTTTTGTTTTTATGTGCACTGTGCTGTGCTTATTTTCAGAATTTGAATCTTCTTCCTGGTAGTCAGTACCTCTGAAGCATAAAACAATAGCATATTATTCTGGTAGAACTTAAAAAAGGTGTACTTAGCTATCTGAATGAGTAACCCTTTTCAAGAATAAGGGTGTGACGGTACTTCTAGGATAAGGAGGTAATTCTACTCTATCATATTACAAGCAACTTGTCTTGCACCATCCGGTAAGCTTACATTTACCTATTACCTACAACCACTTTAAAATCTGCTTTAAAATAAAAATGTTTCCTACCACAAACAAAGCCTAAAATAAGCTATGAAATTTTGTCTTAAGATAGAGTATGATCTGACTTCTGTAAGTGAATAACTTGCCTTAAGGTCCACAGAAAAACTTTGTACTTGACGTTAATATTCCCTTAATTGTATTAGTTCTATTACTTATATATAGTTAAATATTTTAATCCCTGTTAGTTCTACCAGTAAATAAACTGCTTAAAACCAGTAAACATTTATCTACAAATCACTGGTATAATAGGTATGATCTTTAACCATACACATAACTGTACTTTATATCAAAAATAAAACAAAAAACCTTATTGCTTATGCATTTAAAAACAACTTCAATCTTTGTCAATGTTTTGCAGCTTTAAACTAATTAACTCTGCCAAGCTTATTTTGGAAAACTTTTCATAACTTGATGCTTAAGAAAACGCTGCCACTACAGGACAGCTGATCTGATTTAATGAGTAAAGAAAAGGTAATAATATAGGTAGCACATGACTAATAAGCGGGCTGCTCAATGGTGCAGTGGGTAGCAATGCTGTCTTGCAGCAAGAAGGTTCTGGTTTCGATTCCCTACATGGAGTTTGCATGTTTTCCCTGTGCATGCGTGGGTTCCCCCCCGGGTACTCCAGCTTACTCCAAAAACATGATTGTTTGGTTAATTGGCTTCTCTAAATCACGTGTGAGTGTGTGCATGAATGGTTGTTTGTCTCTGTGTTGCCCTGCGATGGGCTGTAGACCTGTCCAGGATGTACCCCGCCTCTCATCCCTGAAGAAAACTGGAGTTAGGCACCAGCAGCCCTTGCGACCCCACTTTTGGATAAGTGTGATGGAAAATGGATGGATGGACGGATAACTATTGAGCTTTACAATCATCACTGCTCCCATGTTTAAAGAGGTCCCACCCCAGCTATTTAAGCATTACAACTCATTACAGCAATGCATTTATACTACTATGCTCAATGATGGAATCATATTTAGAAAGATAGTCTTAAAATTCTTGTTTTAGGGGTTCAGGGAATCATACAGCTATTTAATAATCAGAGAAGGCATAAAGAATGGCAACATTCCCTGATCTCCAATTATTGGAAACAAAACCATAGCTTATTTACAGCAAACCAAAGAGAACAACGTAATCATAAATCATATTGTTTTGAAGTAAATATAGAAAACAGTCATAAAAAGTATTCCAGATACAGACTGACCAACTGATCAAAAATCATAATGTCTTGTTCTGGGGTTTTCCTTTTACCAATTTAACGGTTTCAGCAGGATGTGCTCTAATGCACTAATGTGAGTTAAAGTGAAAGGAAAACAAAGCTTGGTTATATGGGAAATTGGATTTGAACTTTTGGTTTTGAAAACACTGCTCCTTTTAAATACTCATGCTTTTTATTTATGTGTTATAATCCTTAACGTATCAATCTGAAAAACAAAACCCATTCAAAACTGAATCAGTTTATAGAAAACAGAACCCTGCATCAGTGAGGGAAAGTTTGGTTGATGCATGGCTGGTTGTGAACTGTCAAGTATGTTTATTTAGTCATCAATAGAATAACATTGGCTCTGGTTCACAGACAGTTTGACAACGCCTGCCTGCAGTAATATCACTGGGATGAAGTGTTTCTAACACTTCTGGAAACCCTTTTTTTAAGCTTTTCAGCTATAAAAATTTAATTAACCACATTTTCATTAAACCCCTTCTGAGCTCACATATTTAATGACAGCTTCCGTGTAGTGCCATTCAAGCAGGTACATGAATGAAGGCTTAGTGATTTTCACGTGACAATGTTGTTGTCAACTGTCCAACTTAATGCATACGTTGAAAACTGTTTTTATGTCAACAGGCCTGGATGGGAGGCAGTGTCACCAGCTGACTGGCTGCATTTAACGTGTTTTTCTTTGTGCTGTGTAACGTAACAAGTGTGCAGAGAGCTAAACAGCGTGTTCTTCATGCAAGACATATCTTCTTTATCATTCAATAATATAGGGACAGTTTGCTCTTGCAGCACCTGAGTGAGAGCAGAAAGCACAGCAGCGAAAATAATTAGCAAGGAGCAGGCTAACTTAAAAAAATAAACGTTTTTGTTTTTTCTGACGTTTCTTTCAAAAGGCAGCTTTAAAAAGCCGAAGTTCCTATATGAATAGCTGTCAGAGCAGGTGAATGCGGTGTAAACAGGAAGTACTTGTGTTAATGTGCTAGGCTACAACTGAGAGCTAAAGCTAACTTTGGCTAATGCTAACCAGCCTGAAGTCCAAAACAGTTGGAGCACTGTGAGGCGAAGCAAGCCTTTTCAGGAACACCCCGCCCGCCCCGGCTACGGATGGAAAACCCGAGAGCGAAGAAATGAGACGAGTCTCCATCTTTATCATTGCGTAGAAGTAACTGTAGCTAAACCAAAGGCAGTCGATTTGAGAGCTGTCAACTTACTTAAATCTTTGCGGAGTTGCTGGTTTTATGTCCAAAGAGTTGCAGCGAAGATCGTGTAGTTGTCAAAGATGAATTACTCCGGAGTTTTATTGAAGGGTTTCCGGTGTCACCTGCTGCGCATGCGCGACGTATTCAAATTCTGTCTGGCGCAGGGATTTCGAGTTGTTGAACAGAGGAAACAAAAACCTGAAGTGAATATTTGATAAATTGTCTTTTTTTTTTTATCCCGTCTCTACAAATTAACAAATAGCACCATTTTTTTTAGCATGTCATAATATGGTATAAGGGTAGGAACTTATTCATACTGGAAAATGTTGTAATTCAGCAGCTTATTTAGTCTCCTATGCTATTGCATAAAAATGAAAATCTGAATTTATATCACATTTTGATACTGTAGGGATCTGTATCACCAATAGTATAATGCTGTATTTAGAATCATTATCTGTGTCATTTTCTACTAATATGTTTCTCAAGGTTCATAGACACAATAATGTTTAAGAAGAAATATAGGGACATGGCCATCCAACATGCATAGATCAATGAGCCCTAGCTGCTCTGTGGGCTTTTTGTTTTTGTCCACAAGATAAGGAGTGTCAAAAACCTAAAAGCTGCATTTTACATTCATTTCCTAGCTTGAAAAACATTTTATTATACATGAATTAAACAATGGCTCATTATACAATTAAAATTTTATTTTGTTTACCACAGCTTCTCCTACTCTGGTGAAAAGAAAAAGAAAACAACATAAGTCCACTACACTGCATTTACTCTAAAGAAATCTTTTACATAAACAGGGCAGAGCTAGATAGGGGGCCAGCCAATCATTGGCCATCCCTGTGGCCACCCTACTATATATATTTACACCATATTCCCTCTAATACAGATGGTGGCAACAGTAATACTCTCAAGTGGAATATTCAAAAGATTTTAATTTTTTGTGGTTTATTCTGCACATCAATATACTAACATCAAAGATGATAAGTACAGAATTCACGCTCTTTTCAGAACTACATTTAGTGTTATATGGGGTAAAATGATAAAAAAAAATAAAATGAGGTGTCTCTGCAAGTCATCTAGGAGTCTTCAGTGAAAAGTCTTCAGTGAAATCACAGATAAATAACTATTTTAGTAAAAACTTATCAAATAATCAATTTATGTAGGTATATGTACTTGTAAATATCAATTTTATGCAGAATGATTAATGATAAAAGTAGGTTAGTAATGAAAAAGATGTTCGCTCCAGAAATCAAACCTGAAAGAACTTTATCCACTGTACCTTTTATCTAGAAAGCATGAATGTTTAAATATATGCTTCTATTTGTTAGCGAAGGCTGTAGGAAAGTATAGTTTGTCTTTTTCTGAGAATATTGTTAATTAATTTTCCTGTTGGAATAGTGTAGATTGACCCTGAGGTGTTTATATTTTTGTTTTTTTTTTACAGTGTCCTGTCTGGCAATGTGGCGATAACAATAATTGTCTTGAGAACTAAAAAGAGCCCAACAGATTTTGATTTCACAAGTAGAGCAGTACGGCTATCGCCATAGTGTTTAAATAATGCATATAAATAGCTTTATTATTATTCATGCAGGTAGTATTACAGAATATAAGGACAGTGCAATGTAAGTAGAATAAGAACGGGGGAAAAATTAGAAAAGATGAAAGAAAGAGGAGACAAAAGGGAGAGAATGATAAAACGTCTTCAGTCTGCTTCATCTCTTAGAAAGAGATGTAAAACGAACAATACAACCAACGGATATAGTATTAGAGATACAATGAAGCTGGGGTTCTGGTGTCTATCCACTTTCGGCCACCCCTCAGTGTACACTGGGTATTGTCTGGCCACCCTTATAAAAATGTTCTGGCTACGCCTCTGCACATTAATTGCATGACAGTTTAACCTAAATAACTTAGAAAAACAAAAAAAGAAAGAACTTTATTAATGGATAATTACACATCATATTGCTTGGATTTGTTGTGAAGATAGTGTTTATTATTGCGAAGCATTTTTTATTAAAAAAAATAATAACAACATTGAAATTCGATGCTTATATAATTTTGAAGCTTTTTAGATATGGATAATCAAATGTACGATTTAACCTGAATGCATCATGGTGCCGTAAAATGTTCAGCAGTGGAGCAGCTGCTAGGGAGTTTTTAAGCCGTTTCCATAGCTACGCGACCAGAGCGTACAGAAGACAGTGGAGGAAAAGACGTTCTCTGTTTTTACGGAATGTTATCTCTGATAATCAACCTGCATTAGCTTCTCGCCTTTATTGCTTTGTTATAGTTTAGAAGTTTTGTTTATATCAGATGATTTTATTTAGATGAGGATGTCCCTGTCCACTGCCAGAGACCGTTCAGCTCCGGGTTCACCCAGAGAACAGCGAGCATACGGTAAATTATTCACATCCATCCGCTGCTGGTGGCCCACCAGGGCTCCGAAGTTTTAGAATTAATCTGTCATAGTCTTGCTTTAGTCCAGAACTGATTGTTGGGAAATGGGCTGAGTTTGATCGGTCTGATTTTGTCCCCCTTTAGTCCATTAATAGACGTTTGAAAAGGCTTTTCAACCAAATGTAGACGTCGTTTGGAAGTAAAACATGTCGTCTTTCAACCAGTTTTTGCTCGGTGGTAAACCTGAAATTAAAGAAAATAAGAGTTTTTCAGTCTCATAAAGAGTTTATTCAACTCTGTTTCTGTCATCATAGTAAAATTCTTCTGTAAACTGAGGACTGATCAATTCAGATTTGAGTCTGAGTTTGTTAAACCTGTTTTGTAGCCTCATTGCTGCTCAGCAAGTATCAAATCTAAAATTGGACATGAATGCCACACTTCGAATAATAGTTTAAAGGGTAATTATAAAATAAATGTGCAAGCGGATTAGGGCCACTGGATTAAAAAAAAAGTATAAAATGAGAAAAAAGTCAGAATTCTGACTTTAATCTCAGAACTCTTGACTTTTTCAGAATTCTGACTTTAATCTAAGAATTCTCATGTAATAAGTCACCTAATTCCGTCATTTTCCACTGATGTGTTAAAGTTCCTCCCAAACAACTCACATCTTTGTCAGTAAAGCTGAATGCTCCCACACCTCTTCCTTCATGGTGCCCAACTTCATTAAGATCCAAAATTCTGAGATTAAAGTCAGAAATCTGTCTTTTTTCCATATTAAACTGAAATAAAATTTAAAAATCAGTTAACTTTTTTTATTTTTTCAGTGGCCCTAATCCTCTTCCCTATAAATTACGGTAATGTTAATTGGGGCTATATAAATAAATTGCATTGAATTAAATTAAGACCAAGATGTGCTTTCTTTAGCAGGCTACAAGTATAAGTATGTGGATAACAATGTTGGTGGCTCCAGAGCCTAAATATTTGGTGAGTTAGAAAAGCACAACTTTAATGTATTACTTAGAAGTAAAATATAGTTTGATAAAGCTACCTATAAATATCCCTCTTATTCTAAATCATTCTCAAAATGTAGCTCTTTAAAACTAAACTCTGCCACTAACCCACAGCAAATGGGCCTAAGGTTTGAATATCAGTCTGGGCTGTTTATGCAAATAGTTTTCCCACAATCCCAAAAGAATAACTGTCAGGTCACAATAATTGGTCACTCTTAATTGTTTGTTTGTGTGCATGGATGTTGTTTTTTTTTATTCCTGTGTCTCTGTGTTGCCAAGGTGCGGCCTGCTTACCCAATGACTGCTAGAGATGGACACTTGCAACGATAAGCTGGTTTATTAAAAGAATGGATCTCTGAGGACTTTTTATGTTTGTTTATTTCGTTTGTTTTTAATGCTAGACGTTTAAACTACATTTGGCTATCTTTACTTCAAAATCTAACATATTTGGTCTGATTGAACAAATTCTTCACCTAGCACGTTCTTAAATATAAACTTAAGATATATAAGCCAAAACAAGCCTTTGTTTTGGTCCACTCTATAAAGCCTCAAATTCAACAATATTTCTGATGTTTTGAATTGAAAAAGCTTCCTGGATGGGAAGGGAAATGTCTTCAAACTTGGAAACAAAGTCCACTGGATTGTTTAACTTTTTTCTAAAGATATATAAGACTGTTATTCTTTATAAAATCACAAATAACAGAGTCATACTCACTTTTTGTATTCTTTTTCTTAGAGGCTGACCTGAACATCCAAACTCTGCTGGGGATCAGGAAGAAGCAACCACCTACTGTCAGACCTTCCAGCATCCCAGATGAACTGCTGCTCAGCTTCACCTCCACGGTCTCCAGCAGAAACACACAGGGCCACACTGCACATCACCGGAACTGTGAAGTACTGATGTCTTTCCACTTTAGATAACACATTGGGATTTATACACAGTTGTTTAAAGTTCAGTTTTCTCCTTCAACTCATTAAAAAAAGAGTAATTTACATGTTAGTTGTTCATATTTGTTATTCAATGTAAAGAAGGTGTCACACAGCTGATAATACTTGGCAAAGGCTGAAGAAATCAGCAGAATATTCCCATATTTACATGTTTTTCTGCCCAAAGTATCGCTTCATTAATAAGCATTCAATGAATAATTTGTTTGTATTTACTGCCCCCTCCTGGCCATTTTTTTTACTCTGGTCTTCTACTGTAGTTTTCTCCTTTAGGGCTCAATTTCAGTGACCCCGGTATAAATATATATTCTTTGTTACATTATTGTTATAATATTGAACAGACTTTGATTACAGACAAATATGACTTGAGTTAATACAAAATGCAGTTCACAAACGATTTTACTTATCAGATGGGAAAAGTTATCCACATTGACCTGGCCCAGTTCAATAAATAATTCCCTTAACCCAATAACTGAGTCTCCTCCCTGTTGGTTGCAAAAACTGTTATGAAGTATGTAAAATAACCGAGTGAGTGTTTGACACCATGATGGAGGAACGTTGGGCCCTTTCTTGCAGATTATTTAGTCAGACTGGGCTCTTTCAAGCATAAAAGATCTGTTTATGGTGGTACTACAACACCTTCATCAGATTAACTGGAACTCCATATCTGCCCAGGCCACTTTAAAAGTTTATTTTATTTAGTATTTTTGGGAATTGCACATGGATCTACTGGTGCTCTTCGTATCATTGTCTCATTGTCATTGTCTAAAAAGCCAGTGTTTTTGAGCTTGGAGTCATATTTATGGTCCCATCATTACTGACATTTTCCCTCTCACGAGTCCCAGAAAAATGTATTCCCCAAAATCTTTAGAGATCAGGAACATGTGAAACAGGCCTTTGAAAATGTACCAGCAAAGCTTAGAAACAGCTTTGTAACCTATTCCAGATTTATTATGAGCCCTCTGTTCTTGAATTTATTTGACATGTTTCGATACCTTCGATTCTACTGTTCTGGCCAGAAATGACGAACTGTCAAAATTACTGTGGTTAATTACAACAAATTCAGCATATGATAATGGCCGCAGATAGTATTTAACATTAGGCTTGACTGTTTCTTCATCAGCTCGTGTTGATTTAGCTCTTAATTCAAACTACTTTTACTTTTACTAAATTTACTTAGGTTCTCTTAATTGGATATTAAAATGTGTTTGATGATCGAACAAGAGAGGTCCAATCTAAAGAAATATGTCTCAGGGTAATGTTATTTTGAGGCACTCTCAAATTAATTTAATGATTTGTTAAAATAATAAAAACTGTAAAACAAAATTTTGTAAATAACATGTTTTCATTATGTAAGTTATATTTGCCCAACCTTTTTCTTTGCTTACTCTTATATGCTTAAAGGCAATTATATTATCTCTGGTCAGATTCCATTAGTAGCAACTAATAACACAAAGCTTTGTAAATTGCCTTAACACATTAGATATTTACAGTTAAAATATTTTTGAACCCCAGTCGGCCTCAACAGATGGCCGCTCACACTGAGCCTGGTTCCACTGGAGGTTTCTACCTGTTAAAAGGGAGATTTTCCTCTCCACTGTCGTTACAAGCATGCTCGGTGTGAGGGATGAGTCGATGCAATCAACTGGTTTTCCTTAGATAGAAAACTTCAGTTTGATCAGTTTGACGGGCCTGTCGAATCTGGCGTTGGTCCTTTCCTGCATGTCTCACTCCCTCTCTCATACCCCCTTTCCTGTCAGCCTACTGTCCATAAAAACGAGTCACTAGTGCCGTTAAAAAAAATCAGTTTGACTGTATGATCTGGTTGAACCGCCTCTGTAAAGTTTCTTGAGATGACGTGTTGTGAATTGGCATTATATAAATAAACTGAATTGAATTAAAATACATTGCAGCAATTAAACAAATTCCTTTCACATTTTGAACCCAATCTGGGTGGAAATGCTGGAGGTGTCATTGTCCCTGTGTCACAAGCACCTGTGGATGTCCTTTCTGATCTTTTCTGTGTTTTTTTATGTTTCTAAGACAATTTTTTTGTGCAGAGTTGCGGAGTCAGGCGGCCAGATGCAGTTTGGCATCATCCATTTGGACGCAACAAATACAAATACCTCCTGGAACAGCCAACATCGCTGACAGGAGCGGGCAGGTCAGTCAGAAAAATGAGACAATGACAAATATTTATATTACTTATTCCCCTATGTAACATTTGATGTCTTTACAGCTCAGATTTCCGTTAAAAAAATAGATGATTTGTTACACCTTTGTAAAAAGAAAATTGCCATTCTTTTAGAGAGACGACCTCAATCTTCAGCCTTTCTTTGCAGCACAATGGAGCTCTGCCCAAACACATCTGAAATGGCTAGAGGACCTAATTAGAATGTCCACAGAGAACTTTGCAGAGTATAAAAAATGCACAACAAATTTCAAATTGTCATTATTATATGAAACATAAAATAATCCAAAATGCATATCTGCTGCTACCCAGTCAAATTTGAGGCCATGTATTGTACAGCCTTCAACTCGGTCAATTACAACGATGCAAAGGCTTTTAAAATAGATTAATGCATAAAATTATTCAACGATGTGAATTATAACAGAAAAAATAATTCTACTCGCTGCAAGCTGCTGAGTTTGCTTCGTATTTCTTCATATTTCTGATCTAGATGATCACAGTAAAACCCTGTCATTTGATTTTTTTATTTTTATTTTACACCTGAGGTTGGATCTAATTAGAATCTGATGAAGTAATAAACTAAGGGCAAACACCTAAACAAACTAAACTGACTTATTTAGTCAGGTTTTGTGGATGTTTGAGGTCCCAAACGCAGAGACAGAAGGAGGAAGAATTTTTTTTTTTTTGCTAATTTTATAATGTTTCAAAGGGCAAGTGAAGCAAAAGTCTACAAACATAATACAGGAAAACCTAAACCCAGGAGACGTCAGGGAAAACACACACGAAGGGCAAAGAAACAATGAGGAACCAGCAAACAATAACTGAAGAGGAGGAATATAAATGGGCGACTGAACAAAGACCAGGCTATTCCGCAGATTGGGCGCAGGTGTGGGCAGAGGAAGGGAGCTAGGAGGAGATGGACACAAGATGGCAATAAATGTTAAACAATACATAATAACTTAAATACAACCAAAAAAAACTTAAAAAACACAAAATGGAAATGAAACCTACGAAAACTCAAAGAGAAAACTTAAACAGAACCAAAAACATGACAGATTTCCTTTGACAATGACTATATAGTAATTATTCATCAGGTGCTAATATACTAAAATGAGTTTTATGTAACCCCTGTCATTTTAATATTTTATATAAAGGATTGTATACATTTCTTCCCTCCATACATGATGCTACTGTAGGGATATTTCATTCCTGTGCGATGGTGGGGTAAAACAGAAGAAAATGACGCTTTTGCCACCGGTAAATGAGCAGAACAGCATCAGGGACCCACAGGTGAGCCGCATAAGGAAATGGTCAATATTTTATTTATTTTCTTATTCAGTGATGCATAGATGCTCCAATGTGGCATAAAATAATACCAAAGAAATTAGTATTTTTTTTTCTTACTCAGAGAATTACAACTAATGGTATTTTAGACAGACCAGTTAACCAGGCTGTCATGTGATAGGACTATGTTAGGAAGAAGGAGGAGCCAGAGAGAATATATGTCCAATTGAAGTTTTTTTTTCTCTTAATCCTGTTTTTGTCCCAGGGTGCACCAATATCACCAGGTTTAATTGATATCCCAATATTTTGAGGATTTTTTTAAATACATTACTCATTTATATATGTTTACTTCCTTATTTAGTAGTTGTTTTTTCATAAATATGTCCCCATGTTTGTTTAAACAGCAGCGTATTTGACAACCATTGTTATTTTTGTGAAAAAATTCAACAAATAATAAATAATATTTCTCTTACCACTTTCAGGACTTGAGTATCCCTGAAGCAGTGATCCCTGAAGAATTTCACATCGTGAAGAACAAAGGGATACAATGCCTAGAGTTGTATGAAGAGTGAGTTTCCTTAACGTCATTATGGTCTGTTAGGATAATAATCAATGCAGAATAGTTTTTTCTGATGTATTTCCTATTCTGCCTTTTTTCCCAGTGCATTCACAGTGCAGCTCAAAGATCAAGAGAAGAGGTTGAGAGTCCTTCCATCTCTGTGAGTCCAAACATACAGATTAATCAAACTGAAAAGAAAGAAGTTTCACCAGTACAGTTCGATTCAATGATCAGATGTGTTTTGTTGGAAATATGCCGGTAAAACAAGCTCTCTCTACATGTGTGCTATAATCTGTTTGTGTGAAAATGTGTGACCAGGAGACCCAGTGGTCGACTGGAAGCGATCCAGCTGATGAGGATGATGGATGACATGCTGGAAAAGGCCGGAGTGGATCAGCAGAGCGAAGAGCTGACTGAGATGTGCCAAGTAAGTCTGGTCCATCAGAAAATCTTTAATTAGCAAAATCAACATAGAAAAAGGCTCCAAATCTGCTTAACATCCCTCAACATGTAACCAGTAGAACAACATGTACAGTTTAGTAACCTTTTATCTTTAATTCTCAATAAATCAGTCATTGTAAATTATTAATGTATGAAACATTGTCAGTATGTTTTTGAATCTAACAACCTCTTCCTTCAAATCATTTTTAGCTACAATGATATTTCACAATTTACGTAAAGATTTTGCTATTTAAAAAGGATGAGGTAGCTAAAAAATTTTGATGAGTCAGAAGAATATTGAGATTTAAGATTTTTCACACATTTAGGGAACATTTTCAGCCTAAGTGTAAAAATGTAAAGGATAAGGTAAATCAAATACTGACGCAGAAGGCCTCCAAATATATCTGCAATTTAATAGTCAGTACGGCTCATTTTTGATAAAGAATCTAAAATCGCTCTGAGATTTTAAGGTGGGTGACTTGTTTACAGCTGGAGGGCCTGTTGGAACTGGTGAAGACTGAACAGAAGATCTACAACATTGTTTTCCATGAAGTGATCAGACAGGTCACTGTGGGCTGTGCTGAGAGAGGACAGCTCCTGGCTAAACTCAGGTTAGTGTTTGCACCAGGAGGCGAGCTTTTGATGACCCTTTCATGCCTTAAAACAAAACACTTAATACACACAAGTCGGACGCAGACTAAAAAAAAGACACACAAGACTACTGTTTTAAAGTGTGTCATATCATAACCTCATATAAAAACTATCATCCATCCAACTATTGTCTATAGTTAATTATCTGTGCAGAGTAATGGATGTGCTGATGTCAAGGCTAAGAAAATAGGACCCAGAATTCAGGCAGACAGAACAGGTTTGTTTAAAAGTAAAATGCTTTGACAGCTCTGGATTGGGCGGCTCGTCAGCTGGGACCGGCTTGCTGAACTCTCTGTAAAGATAGATACCCAGGTTAGTGACCACTAGACTCAGACGGGGAACAATAACGGGCATGTGAGTAACTAACCTGGTACTTAGTTCTGTCCGTGTCCAGAGGAAGGAGTAGGAACCAGTCCTTCAACACTTCTTGCAGCGGGAGCCACCCAGGGAGTTCCAGAAGTTAGGCAGAGCAGAGTGACGAGTGGAAGCCAGCAGATGCAGAAGTGCAGCAGAATCCAAAGGGAATATCTAAGCCGGGGTTAGCGGACAGATCCAAGGTCGTTAACAGGCAGAATCCAAACAGCAGTCCAAGTACATGAACAGGCAGACACAGACCGGAACAGGGGCAAGCCAAAACTAAGGAATCCAGGCACAGAAACGGGTCAGAATCGGGCAGTCAAAACACAACAGGGTATGCTAGATAACTCTCACACTCAGCTTGAATAATCTGGCACTGATGGCTGGAAACAGGCAGCATAAATAGGAGCTGGATCAGATGAGGGCAGATGAAAACTGGGCGGAGCTAAGCAGGTGGAAGGAATTAACTAATAATCCAGTCATCTGTGCCAACATCATGACAGCTGGTACCTATAGTTAGCCTGACGTAGTCCTACTCAATTCTAGTCAGAATATGAGTCTGATACTGCTCCATAGAGCTGTGATTATGGGGCGTGTTTTGAACGAACCAGGAAAAAAAAAGCCTCTGCACTCAATTGGATAGACCTACAACCAATAAGAGCAACGGAGTGCGTGACGTATGTTAAGCGACGCATAGTTGTTGTCAACAAAAATCAAAGCCTGCAGTTGCACGCCTAGAATAAGAAGATGAGCCTTGATCGCGTTTCTCTGTTCCTCTTTTAAAATTAATTTGCTGACGATATCTTCTAGAACAGACCTAATAGCAGAATCTACACACCTCAACTCTCCAGCGGCAGCCATTGTTGTTGTCACCCAAGTGTGCTTTGGTGACGTGGTTGATTACGTTACTGTTGATCATCTGTCCATCATCGTATAAAGCCCGCCCTGACAATTTGATTGGCCCGCCAGATATTGTGCGAGCATACTCGAGTCGTGCTACTATTAAGCAATGCCAGACCGAACTTCCCGACCTCAAACGTTGTGGGCGGGACTAAGTTCGGAATGGCACCCAGGCTAACCTACAGTATCTAAGGCGATCATTTGGCAAGAGGCAGGGTATTTTTTGAAAGACTAGGTTATGAAATAAAAAAAAAAATAAAAAATCTGTTCACCTTATCGAGAAGTTAAGGGTTGAATTTAATGAGCTTCTTTGTTTGCTTCAGTGTGAAATTGGAAAATTACTCTAGGATAAGCAACATTCAACTCTATTCTTTAAAAAATTTTCAGCAAATATCTTCCTCCTACTGACCAAGAGCTCATATTTCCTATTTTTTTTTCTTTTTGTCCAGACAGCGGTACCAGTCCCTTTTGGACGGAATCCCACGCCGTCTGATGGCTTTACACACTGAAATGGTGGCACAGCGGGCTGTGGACCGCCGGCTCATCGAGGAAATCCACCGCATCAAGGCTTCCATCCAGCAGCTAAACACGTGTGTAGATCAGGGCCGGAATAATTGGAGAAAATAAGCAAAGTTAATGTGTTGTGGGAGAATTTAATAAACTGACTCTTAGGAAGAGATAATAAATTCTGTAAGTTTGAATAATATACCATTTAAATGAGTCTGTTTCAAACAAATGTAAAGGTGAGAGATGTGTCTCATCATTTTCATGTTTTTGTGTTTGTGTGTTCTCTCGTCAGCGAACTATCGAACATCAGAGACCACGAGGCGTTTGTTTCCCAGCAGGTGGATCATGGACAACAACAACTGGCTGAAGGCCTCAGAGAGACTCACAGCAGCTCAGAGTCAGTGTGGCACACCTGTAATAGTGATTAATGGCTCGCTATATCGCCATTTATCAACTAAATTAGAAGAGACTAAACCTTTCTGCTTGTTTTAGAACCTTTACTTGGCTCTGCTTCTGTGCGCAGTCCATGCTGTAACTCAGTTCATTTCACTTTAAAATGAGTCAGCACAAAACCTCTGCAACACTTTTCTGGGGGGTCATAAAAGGCCAGATTTTAAACAGTTTTCAAAAGAGTTACCTCTAAAATGATGAATGTGTTTCTAAGTGTTGTCCAGGGTTACCACCAGCTGTATGAGCTGCATAGGGCTCGTCTGGAGGATCAGCTGCTGCAGATCACTGAAGACAGAGATCTTTGGAGCCAGTTCACCTTCAGCCTCGCCCTGGAAGTACAGGAAGCATTTATGTTCTGCTGTTCTTTATTGTTTTCTGTGTGTAAATTGGTATTTTACCATCTCTATGACTTAATGTTATCATGAATGAATGAAAGATAACCAAATATGTTTTGGTCTTCTTTTTATATATTTCCCCAACAGCTTTAAACCATTCAGTTAAGGGCCCTTTCTAGCACAATAAAACAAAGAATTAGACACAGAGCGTAGGATACAGTTACATTTTACTCTTAAATGTGTCAGTTGGACCCATTGTTGTTGCAGATTTTGTTAAACTGTTTCTGTTTTATCAGGTGATTAAAGTAAAGAAGCTTCAGGTCTTCAGAGAGCTTCACGTCGCCGAGGAATGCTGGTTCAAGACAGCAAAACACTGCCTCCTCTTCATCTCAACAAAGGTAAAAGTAAAATGTCCACTCTTTCACTAAAGCAATAAATTATGGTTCAACAATGCTACATCTCCTCCTAACGCAGGATGCAGAAGATCTGCATAACATAGTGGAGTTAACCAGCTACTGGAAGGAGCAGCTGATCATGCTCATGTCCCAGCTGAAGCGGACTGAACACGCTCAGTTTGCACAGCTCACATCCACGCAGCAAAGCATCACTAAGTGGTCTAATTTTCTCAAAACACAGAAAAAGTAAGAAAATAGTTTTCAAAATAAAAACCTTTGGGATTCTATTTGAATTTTGTTTTAAACTTTATTGAAGCTAATATGCTCAACTGATGTCACAAGGGGTTCTGATCCAGAATATGGCAGCTCAGCGCTTGAAGAGATTATTGCAGATGTAAAGCAGTGCTCACATGTAAGACAAAACTTTAATTACTTTCTTGTCTTTTTCAGGCTCTTATCCTAAATGAGAGCAATGTCCTTCTCACTGAAATGTTACCATGAATTTCCTGGGATATTTACTGAGTTAATCTGGCAAGAAAAAAATCAGCTTTGTTTTTATTATCGTTACACCCCATACCAGTTCTGCTCTATGTGTTCTTTGTTACATATCTAGATCTGAATGGTCTCTATTTGCTTCCGTCAATGTTTAAACAATGTTTTATATTGGTTCAGGAAATATAAAGAGATATTGAAACAGCTAAACAAAACGTTTTGCCATTTGAAGCACAAACTATAATTTAGTTTATCAGGGTTTTATGTTACAGACCAACACAAGGTTGTGAAAAACTGAAGTGGAAGAAAAAAATATACAATGTTCAACATGTTTTAGAAATAAAATCTAAAAGGTTTGGCAGGCATGATATTAGTATTCAGCTCTCCTCCTCAGAGCTTTAGAAAACCTTTACTTACTTCCTTTAGTGCAACATTATTTGTCTCTGCCAGGTTTGTATATTTAGAGAGTAGCGTTTTAGGCTCACTGCCATACTGGGAGATGAATCTCCACCCTAGTCTAATCAAGTTTCCTTCCAGAGTTTTCCTTCATTTGGCTCCATCCATTTTCCTTTGGACTCTACCCTGGAACAGGACAGGATTTAGGTTTTACAGCAGGGAGGTGTGTTCAGGGTGAGGGGTTGTGTTTTCTGGTATATACTCAGACAGAAGTTTTGGATCAAGTGTAAAAGGTTTAATTTTAATGTTAGCAACCAGAAAACCGTATGACTTATAGTGAACTTCTTTTTTATGTAATTTTCTATCTATTCTTCTTCGGTCTCACTGATTTCCTTTTCATAATGCGTTCACACTTTACAGGCTGCATTAGTTTGTGTGTCTCTCACACATAAAATCCCCCCAAAAATACATTAAAGTTTGTTGTTGTAACTTGATAAAATGTAAAAAAAAAAAGAAAACTCAATGGATAATGAATACCATTCTAAAAAAAATCTAGAGGGATTTCTCCGACCTGGTGGTCTAAAAAAGAGTTTTTTGAATAGTTAAATTATTCATCTTGCTTTACTTTGCTTTGTTTTTGCAGATGCTGTCACTCCAGTGTGAGGAATACCAAGGTGAAAAACAGCTTTTGCTTCAGCAGAAACTAAATGAGCTGCGCAGTGTCCAGAAAAAGTGGCTGGATGTGAGCCTTCAGCTCTTTAAAAGACACACTTACTCTGATGCTGAGTCTGCTGAGAGCCCACAGACCATAAGAGCGCTGGACAGGGTCCTAATAGAACTCCTCAAACAGTTTGAACTGAACCTCAGTGGGGAGAATGGTGAGAGAGTCTCATTGACATCTATACAGCTGTTCAGTTTTTCTATCGCTTCTTCGATTTCATTTTATCTCATGTTAGTCAGGTTATTGTTAAGATATGGAGGAGATCTCCTAAAGGTGATTTAGGATGTGTTTTGCAGGAATCCACAGGCTGATGATGTCACTGGTTTGGTTAATGGAGTCCTGGACCTCCACAGCTATTGCTGGGATTGATTGGTTTAAACTGGAAGAAGCACTGTTTAACTGGAAAAAGCTAACCGAGGAGATATTGTTGCAGTTCTCCACCGCAAAAACTCAAAACCAAAAGGACCAAAACAAACATGACTTTTAGTAAGTTACTTGTATATTATTGCTGTCATTTTAAATGTTGAAGAAAAAACTGATTTTGATAAAACTGATTTTGATAAAAGAAAAACTATTAGAACAAACATCATTTGCTTATTTTTTAGAGGAAAGGTGTTTTTTGTTCTTGTGTTTGGTTTGTTGAGCTTCTGTATAATATAGTAATGGCAGAAAATGTGACTCATTCCTATAAGCTTTGAAAAAAAACGTAAAATAACATATGAAGAGCACATCAGGCAGTTTCTGTGTGTAAATTATTGCAGGAGAGAGGGCAGTGTGTGGTTTGGCTGATGAATATCTTCCTGTATTTAGTTCTCTGTGTTGATCTGTTCAAACAGCAGAGAGGGAAAAAAAGCCTTAGATGACATCCAGGAGTTCACAAGCAGCTTGACTAACTTCACTGAGAGCAAGAACCAGAAACTGGAAGAGGAGGTGAGTTTAAGCCCTCTTCAGGAAAAACTCACATTGTATTCTTGATTCTCTCTGAACGTGTGGAAAACAGAAATCAAAGAGGTCTCATATTATGTTTAATTTGTCTTAGAGGTCAGAGCTCAGATCTATGTTAAAGGCATTCTAGTTACGAGTCAGAAAAACATTTACTTTGGGTTTTTCTGCTACTTCTATCAACAGAAGATAATAGCAAGGAATTTCTCTCCACTTAATGTGTTCAAACTCCAATTAACTTTTTTTTTATCAAAATGGTTGTGCAGCACAAAAAATCTTCATAAAAAGGGCAAATGAAGCAAAATAATTATCTAATTATTAATTATCTTCTGAGTTCATGGTCAGAAATGTATGAAAAATACCACAGAAGTCTCATTTTTGGTGTGAGGGATTGCCTTCGAGTTAATGAGTCAATGAAATCAGCTGGTTTTCCTGAATCAATCTGACGGGTTGATCTGGTGGAATTGTCTCTGACATGTGTTGTGAATTGTTGCTATATAAATAAACTGAATTGAATGAAATTGAATTTTAAAGTTCAGTATTCAACATAGCTGCCGTTCATAAAAAGCTTTCTGGTATAGACTATTTAATTGTGCCTTGCATGTTTGTATTTGATAAAAGCATTTCTGAACCTGGTGCTTTACATTATATCTAAACATTTTATGTTGGTGTTTAATTTATAAAATTTATTGAACATTTTTAATCTTCATCTTCTAGCTGTGATGGTATTGCTGGGACTAAGCATCTCAACAAATTGCAAACGCTGATTTAATAGTTTACAATAATGACATTCCAGCTCTCCAAGATTGTAAAATCTTGGAGGAATATGTGCCATTTATTCTGAAAATGATGTTTTTCTCTGCATTCCAAATCTAAAATGAACATTTTCACTTATAGAGATTATATGATATGTTGTGTACATTGATGTAGTGAGATACTACCCATCAAAAGTGCAGCTGAAAAGTTTAAATCAGCAACTTATACGTTGTTTTTTAATGTTTCATGTGTGGCTGCCATATTAAATAAGGGTTATACCAGATCTCTGACTTTTAAATTAAAAATTCTAATTGAATGAGATGCTCAACTTCATCTAAAAGCCAAGAAATATGCAGTGAGACATGGCATAGAGTGAGAATACGCAGCACATATTCAGAACTTACTTGTCCTCGTTGTAGGCATCACTCTCTGACCTCGGGACCTTTGCTGCATGTCTTCCCTAGTTTGTCTTTCTGCCCATTTCTTGTCTGAGTAAATAAAGCAACATTTTGTCTTTGTTTTTCTCCAATCACATATAGATATAAATAAAAACACAATATATATTCATCATCATCTGAATCGATGGTATCCCTTTAGCCTACATTTCGTTAATAAATTGATTATTGCAATTGGCCAAATATCTTTTTGCCTTCATATAGTTTGTTACTGAGCAGCTGTCTGGCCAGAGGGACTTTGAGGGACCAGTAAATAATTATTTCTTTACTTTTTCTTTTCCTGACCTTAAGTTACCACTAAGTTTCATTGTCTCCACACCCTCCAGGTGATTTCTATTCACATAGCTCAAACCCGCTGGATGTTGGATCTTATGCTTGTCATGGTTCCTAACCAGAGTGACGAAGAGGATGAAGATTTGAACGATGACTGCTCTGTGAAAAGAAACTCACAGGCTTTACTAGAGGATGCAAAAACACTTGCTGAGAAACTGCTCTTTTTTTCCACCATTATTAACAGGTAACAGCAATTGTTGCCTTTAGCTCTTTATAAGGTCTTGTGTCTCCTTAGCTGCTGTTAAGCAGTATTATTATGTTCTAGTTGTGTAAAGCGAACTGTTTTCTTTTAACCGTAGTGCTCTCAGTGTTTATAAAAACACACGTTTATCATCTTAAAGCTGCTTCTTACTTCAGATTAAGATTGTCTTTGAAATAGCAGTCGGACATTTAGGGGTTTCATTTTATTTTGGGCTGGATTTATACAGCAGAAATTGTTCTTTCTGTATTATAGATCATGCAATTTGATTTTGGAAGAGACCATGATCCTGGGCTCTGATACAACTGAGATGGAAAATGAGACAAATGAGTGCAAAAAGTTGCAGGTAATAAAAGGCAATAACATGTTTCCAACTTGCACTGCAGCCCTGAAATTTTCTGGAGGGGCTTTAAGAGGCCAGCACACAGGACTGCATATGTGCAGTCATTGGTTTAGGATTTCAGTAACATTTTCCATTGACTCTGGCAAAACAGAGGTAGCTCAGTACAAAACATGTATGAATGGTGATATTCTAAAACATGTAGTTGACCATTTAAGAGAAGAAATCACTGCATGCTGTTTTACTGTTAACATAAAAGTCTGCATTTCATTCCATATTTTTTTTTATTTTTCTGTCCTCAGAGAGCCTGTGATCATTGGGTGGAGACCAGCAAAATACTGCTCACAGGACTTCATGGGAAATCAACGGAAAAGCATCTGATCAAGCGACCTGAACAATCTTTAAGCAGCACCAATCCAGCAGAAAGCATTAAGACTATGGTGAAAATTCATAAAAAATGCATTCTGAATAAATAAAGCTGAATAAAGCTGACTGTCATTGCATTTCTTTAGAATGTAATTTAGTTTTAGTACAGGGCAGGAAAAAGAGGAAAAAAACAAGTTACTTTCTAATGGGTTTAGATTAATAAACAGTTTGGTAAACATAAGTTTGTCTCATATTTCTGCTAACATCTTTTCTATTTAGGTAATTTATCTAAACAGTTTTAAAAGAATGTTTGTTGAGTTGATGAACCTGTTTCGCTCTGCGTAGACTTAGTGGAATCTATGTTGTGAATTTCTGTGGAGAAGTTAAACATTTAACACATGCAAAGAGTTTTTATCTCACTGTTTAGTGAATTAATCCTACTACTACAACTACTTCTTCGTCCCTGTAAAACTACAATATAAAGAAACAGTTAAATGTATTTTTTTTATGTCTTAATCCATACTTAATTAAAAGTGTTAATGAGTTAATGTTTTCGCTTGTGTTAAAGGGCTCTGCAGATCCATTGGTGGATTCAAGGCATGACATTGAAAGCATCAGTGATGAAACTAAGCCAGAATCAACTGAGGTTAGTGATTGGAACAACAAATAGTTCTCAGCAATGATGCAGACAGTCTGCCAGAACAGTTTTACCTTCAAGAAAAACATTTAACCAAATATTGATTTATTCGATTTATTCATAGTTCAAGTTCTCTTGCTGTTGTATCAGATACTTAGTAGATAATTTAAGCTGTTTCTAAAGAGATAAGTGTTACTTTTATTTCTCTTTAGAAGACAGAGGAAGAACTGAAACAAAGCCCCAAAAACATTAATTTCCTCACTTATTATTATTTAAATTTTTATTATTTATAAGTTAGTATTTTTAGAGCAACCAGGTTCATGCCTAAGATCATATTACTCTATGTTTTACATTTGCTGAACAGCTTAAGTTATTTGCACTTAAAAAAAAAAGATTTCACACATAACAATGTGATATATGAAATGAAACAGTGAATTTAGTGAATTTTCTTCTTTGGACCAGTTACATGGTGTCATAGAACACATGTCTGAGTAGTTTAAAATCTAATATAAAATAACATTTAACAAAAAATCAGGAAACTGACCAGTCTACAGTTTACTGATTAAAATATATAATTTGTTTGTAGGATTTTAATGCTGGATGTTTACTTCATGTGTTAAAACCTTTCTTGTTATTGTTTTTATTTGTATTTAAATGTTCCAAAGACTTTATTTTCTCTTGGTTCTGGGGTTTCTGATGATATATATAGTATTTTGCAGCATACATTTTCTTAAATAAAGTGGCTTTCACAGCTTTGAAAAGTAAAATATCTAATAATGTCGTCCTGCAGGGGGAGCCGTTGGAGTGCGACAGGCCTGTGCTGAAGCTCATAGACTATGATGGAAATATCACAGAAAAATACTTGGAGGAGAGCAGCGTCCAGCTGACTGGGGTCAGATGGTTTAAAATTTTTCATCATTTTTACACTTCTATATTCAGCCTGTTTGAACTCAGTTTGAATCTTTTCATCAGACCGACCAGCTGATTGTTTCTCCTGTAACAGAAGAGGACAGCAGAGCTTTTAGTGATCTAACAACAGTAGTTCTACTGCAGCAAGAACTAAGGTAAGGAAGGTCACTGATCTTTCTATGAATTTATTTATGGTTTTTAAAGACATAAAAAAATCAAACCTTTCAAAGTTTACATCTCCCTGAAAAGGTACCTCCTTAATACTCTGTGGCCCATAAGAACCCATCCATTTTCTGTCACACTTATCCCTGCTGGGGTCACGAGGGGTGCTGATGCCTCTCTCCAGGTTAGAACCCCATGCATGATCAGGGAGAACATGAAAACTCCATGCAGAAAGACCCCGGGCCGGGAATCAAACCCGGAACCTCCTTGCTGCAAGGCAGCAGTTATACCCATGCGTCAATTAGTAGCCTCCAAAAGGAACCCCAATTTATTTATTTATTTAATTACATGTATGAAATCTGAAAGTAATGCATATTTCTTTCATCGTTTTCATTTACCTTTTGGATTGATTCAATATTTTTTTAATTTGAATTGATTTAAGTTAAATATTGAGTATAAATATAAAGTGGACGTCAAAATATAATTTCTATATACGTATGTACATACAGGGGGGCGCTGGCTGGGGGAACGATTTGACTGAGGCCATGCGTGCCGCAAAACACTGCTGGTGGTGGGTTCTTACAGCTTCCAAGGGCCCCTCCATGAGGCGGTTCCCTTATAGCGCTGCCTTTTTCTCTGTGGAAAGATAGGATCCATATTGGGGAGAGGGGAAAAAAGCATATCTCATACTTTAACCTTGACACGATAAAGTTTGAGATATCAAAATAAAACACCTCAGCCCAAAAAAAAACACATGTAACACGAGACAAACATTTCAGCAGAAGGAAAAAGATTGGACGCTGGAGGAACATGAAAGTCTATCTGACATTTGAGCGTCAGTTTTGTGTGTATGAAGAGTGCATTCAGTTTGTCCTTGAATGCTGTCCATAGGCCATTGTCCACGATAAGATGAAAGTTTATAAACCAGCACTCCAGTTCTGTTCCACAGGTGTTGGCGGGTAGGGGAGGTGGAGTGGAGCTGGTAGTTCTGGTCCCTTCCCCCATAACACCCAGGGAGAGTTCATAATGGGGAGGCCAAATCCTAAATAGCACTTTTTGTTTGGAGAGCAGGCTGCACAGAATTTACCGTCTGCCTTGAAGTCTTTTCTTGCAGGCTCCTCATGGCGAATTCAATATTCCATATTTGCTGGGCTTTTGCGCCTTGAAGCGAGCGTGCACATCCAAGATCTTATCCTATTATTCCCTTGCAGATTATGCCTTTTCTCTCTATTCTTTCTTCTTACCAGAGAAGTTTTAAATTGTACTAATTCCGTATATTTAAAGAGTTATATTTAATATAATATTTATATTATATTTATATTTAAATGTTTGCAATACCAAACATTGTGTATAATTCTTAATTTAAATTATAATTGCTCTCAAATAAATATCTCAAAAGTAAATTGTACAAATATATATTCAGTTTCCTTTATACTGATATGACTGGTTGTAGCTGAGTACAATAATTTTTTTAGAAATTGCCCTTGCTTGTCCAGGGGATTATATGTCCGACTGAAGTTCGCAGGTCTAGGGAGTCTGTCAGATAACTTTAGAGAACAAACAGCCTCAAGAAAGACCATGGGGTAGAGTGGAGCGGTGAGGGAGAAAGCTGTGGTGAAATCTAAAGCAGGGCTTGGTTATAAGATCATGTCTTGATCATCTTCTAAAGCATTGTTCTGCATCTGGTGTGCATCATCCTAATGGGAAGTAACAAGCATTAGGAAAACAACTCTGGAGAAGGCCAGCAATCTATTGCTTAGGTAAAAGAGACTTCTGACAGCATAACTTTTAGTCTTAAACTCAACAAGTTTCACCTTCATGGCAGACTTGGAAAAAAAAAGCCAAAAGGAAAGTTTGAGAAAAAAAAAAAATTCAGCAGCCAGGCTGTGGGTGTAAAATATATTGAATAGCTTAGTTAGTTAGATAAAATCAAAATAGAGCTTTATGCAAAGCACAATGTGTGGAGATTAAACACTGATCATTGTGGCAGCATCATGCTGTGAGATGGGGTTTTAGATTTAGGGTAAACCTGGAACAAAACTTTGTTAGGGGTTGCAAAGAATTCTGATAGAGGATCACCTTGCAGCAGTTTTCGGACTTTTCCTAGCCAATCTAATTGGTCTAGAGCTAATTTATTACGTAAATGAGAAAATAAGTCAGTCTCTAGATGTGCAAAGCTAATTAAAATATAATCCCAAATGACTTGCAGCTGCATTTGCATTTGAGTTTGGCTTTATGAAATATTAACGTAAGGAGTTTCAATACAAAAATCACCACACCTATAAAAATACATAATGAAGTTATACTGTAAGCTACTCTGTCACATGAAATCATGTTTTTAAAAGGATTAATATTTAATCAAAATATTAAATTAAATACTTTTTTATTATTTAATACACTCAATTTATCATGTTAAACATCATATATTATAACAAACACAGTTTATTTCCAGCCATTATTCCTATCAATCATGAATACTTCTGACGATGAAAGCATGTATTTAAGATTAGAATCACACCAATAGAAAAACATTTTAATACAGAAAGGTGAGCTTAATGAAAATTTTGTTTAATACCTGTCATTTTTTTTCAAAGAGTGCTTTTAATCTGATAAGTGAACTTCTTCAGAATTGAAATGAGAAATTTTGCTATATAACCATCCATGTTGAAAAAAATGTAGAAACAGTTAAAGGAATAAATATTTCTAAAAGCTCATGTATTTTATTCACAGCTCCACTTGTACCTTTTTTTAAATCCACTTCTTTAAATCTTGATTTTTGGCTGCTGTTTATGAGATTGTCAGATAGTCATTTTTTAACAAAAAAAGCCTGACAATGAAAACCTTTTGGCCAAAGTATATTTCATAAAATAAATATTTCTGGTTAAAATTGATCATAAGCAGTGCAATAACTTTTAAATATCTTATGTTGTTTGTCGCTTCTTAAATATTAAATATCCAGATGAATCATCCACGAAATAGATGTTTGTTGAACTTTTCCTGTTTTTGCTCAGTAATTATGAGATGCGAGCGAAGAACGCCGAGCAGCGAGCTCTGAAAGCAGAGGAGGCCCTGCATGCAGCGCTGGAGACGATCCAGGACCTGGAAAGAAGGCTGCAGAGCCCACCTGCTCCAGAACCTCAGCGTGAAAGTGGTAAAACCTTGTTGCTTCATCATTTAATAAAAAGAGGATCATCAAAGGTTACAATGCCATTATTTTCTGTTTCAGAGATACAGACACCTCCATCTCTTTCAGCCCCATCAGTCCCAACAGCAGCTTCTCCAAATCCATCTATAGGTGAAGCCAAACCATCAAGCACAACAAAAAAGACCAAGAAACCGTGATCTGACATGTGATCGAAACTTATCCTCCAATATGTGTTTAAGGTTGTCTGATTTATTTTGTTGTATTTAGCAGAGTTTTAAAGTAGAATTGGTTATAGGTTCTATTCCACACATTTTGGAACAATAATTCAACAATAAAAAGAAAAAAACTTTGAAAAAACCTCATTAGAACCTCAGAGAAATAAACATTTATAGTCTGCGTTTTCTTTCATCGTCTCACTGTTATACAAAGATTTACTTCAAGTTACCTTTTACACTGGTGACATGCTTGCATCTTTTAACCCTTTAAAAAGCCTGCTGAAAATAAAGTTTATGGAGATACTCTTTAAAGTCCTGACAGTTTTGTTTTCCTTCTTATGAAATTATAAATATGTTTCATATTTCAGTGATCTGGAGCGATTATACAATTATGCATAAGGTCTCCCACAGTGACACTAAAGGTGTTGAAATTCAAATACTTCTGTTCAATAGTTTCTTTATAATTAATTGACATTAGAGGCCTGGATTTGAAAGCATTAAATTAAAATTAACTGAGGCATACAACCTACCTTTTTGACTCTAAAAAAATCTGCTTATATTCTGGTATTTCATTTCCTCCCTGTTCCATGGATTTTAGTGTTTTATGCTTTTTTCCCTGATCATTCTTACACATAGCGTCACAAATAATACCTTTTTTTTTTTTTTACATATTTTCTTTGGTAACAAAGCTTTTTATTATTGTTGTGCTCACTGAATTCAGCTTTCATTTAAACTAGAATATTAGCATAATTTGATATATCTAGTTAATTTATCAGTGTTTTGATCAAGACATAAATTAAATGTCATTGGTTTTTCATATCATTGGTGAGTCTGTCTCTGGCTTCGCCAACATCAAACCTTCGTCCTCATCCGACGCAGGTGGGGGAGGTGGTGGGAGAGAGGTGAGCTCAGGGTTTATGTTGAGGAGATCTGGAGGCAGAGGAAGGACCAAGGCAGGCTGGAGGTGACGGAGGGAGGCTCTAAAGCCTTCCCAGACAGCTGTCTCTCCTTCTGATGCCTTTACCTGCTGCCAAGCAAGAAGGACAGCTGTAATGAATCACCTGTCACCTCACGGCTGTGGAGCCTTATTTCATACGAGATCTAAAAAATTATGTTATGTTGTCTTCAAATCAGTGAAGAAAAACAAGTATTTTAAGTAGGAACAGTTATTTAAAATGCATAATTCCTTACTCTGACCTGCTGTTGTCTCTTAGCCTCAGTATCTGCAGCCAGACTCTGTTGTAGCTCCAAAGGAAAACTGAGTTCATCTCTGACAAGAAAAGCAAACACAAGAATCACAACACATATGTCAGCAATGCTAGAAAAAATCACAAAAAAATTATTTGAGAAACTAATAACTTAAAAGCTTACAACAAATATAAACAAAGGTTACACATGGGGCAGCAGGAAAAAAAAAGGCTTTCAGCCTTACATGTCCACTCTCTCCACTTTGATTCCCCAGCGACAAGTAACAGAGTCCAGAGCTGTTTTTATCTGTCCTCCAATCCTCCGCCTGGACCGCAGGATGTGACTGAAACTATACTGGGCAAAAACGTCTCTGATAGCTGCCTGAACCAGACTCTGCAGCACCAAGGTCAGGCTGGATAGAGCTGCACTGCATAGAGCCACATTTTCTATCTGGTAATAACACACCGCGCTCAGCTCTGGCCTTGCTAGGTCCTTGGTCACCACCTGCATGAGGAAGCCATAGGGAAATCTGGTCATTTATTAATAGCTTTAAATTATTATTTTTGACTTCTTTGTGTTTGTTTTGTACCACATGAGGAGGAACCTTTAACATCCGGAGCCGAATATCAACTATGTGACAGATATCAAGGACTGGAAGGTAGAAAAGCAGGCCTGCAGAGAACAGGGAGGTGCAGAGAATAAGTATAAATAAAGTATAAACAAAAAAGTCTTAGATTTAAAATGATTTAAGATACTGACACTTTCACACTTTATATTGACTTATAGCATAACAAAGGACATAATCAGCTACTTAAACAGTTATTTGCCATACCTCATTTTTTCAAAAGACAAGAAGATATATTAGTTTCTATAATGACTTTTTTGACAGATAATACAAGCTAGAGCATGTTTCTAAAATTAGATAAAAATTAGCAGAGTTTTTAAACTCTTAGAGAGCTAATCAGAGGCAGCCATGGGGTCCAAGGTTACTGTGGAGGTAGTGGACTTGGAGAGACCCACAAATGTCACTTCACAAATCTGGCCCCTGTATGTATGAGGGGCAAGAAGAGACATGTGACGCCTATTTGCAGTTTTTAACTAACCATGATTGAGACAAAGCAAACATGGTAGTGAAGTCAGATGAGAATAACTGAGGTTTTCTGGAAACATGCAATGCTACATATGGTTAAAAAATAAGAAAAATATAACATTTTACATCAGCTCAGACCTTCAGTTATGAGGTTCCTCTCTTTTTCACAATATAGAAACTGAAAGGAGGCTACAGCTGATTTAATCTGTTCTCTGATCCTAAAAGTGGACCGCAGGATGTGACTGAAACTATACTGATAGCTGCCTGAACCAGACTGCAGCAACAAGGTCAGGCTGGATAGAGCTGTACTGCATAGAGCCACATACAGTAAATTGAAAAGGACAGCATGTCATACAGCCTGGGAACAAAACACCTTTTTAGTTCAGTTGTGTTGGTAAGGGGATTGCATCTAAAAGTTGTAAGGTAGAAGCCCTCAAGGACTGCAGACTAGATGTCCTGCACATGACTAAAATAATGTATTAGCTTATCAGCAAATCCCTTGAGAACTTGAATGCATGGTATTAAGGTAGTTAAGATATTAATTCATCTAAAGGTAGCAAGACACCAGCTCTCAAGGATTCAAGACCAAAACCCTTCCCATAAGGAAACATGGTGGTGGCACCATCATGCTTTTGGAATCCTTTTCTTTATTAGGGATTGGGAAGCTGTTAACAGATTATAAGAACAAAATACAGATCAGAACTAATAGAAAACCTCTGTCAGACTGCTTATAAATTGAAATTAAAGTGAAAAGTCACCCTAAAGCCAGAGGAAAAAATATCAAATAGTTTAGATCAAAGCATATTTATTTGGTTAAAATTCCAGTCCAGACGAAAATCCAATTAAAAATCTGTCTCTACATTTTAAAATCGATGTCTTCAGATGCTGTCTGTCAACATCACAGAGATGGAGCTGTTTTGTAAGATAAAGGGAGGAAAAATTCAATCCCTTACTTCATAAAGCTGAAAGAAAAAAACCAGAAAGACGTAGAAATGTGAGAAAAACAATACCATTATCTTAAAGCTCCACTCTTGCACACATTTATGTATGTTAGCTCACTACTGTAAATAAGACAAATTGCCTTTCTGACAATAAAGTTTATCATTCATAAATAAATTCCAAGGTAAAAAGAAATTAGTGGTAAAATTAGGACAAAAAGAGAAATCTAGAGAACTATGGAAATCAGTGTCTACTGGTCCATATTTTGTTAAATTAAAATCACTGTCTATGATCAGTAAGAACAAATATATCAATCAGTGTCATGGGATGAAGAGGTGAGGAGGGGATAAAAGTGATTTGTGCTGACCTGGTCCCTTGGGTTTTCCTCGCAATAGATGACCAAGTCTGAAGATCACAGCTCTCTCGTGCTCTCGGATGACCTGTGAATCAAAATGACAGCTTTGTGCTGAAAGGTTCATTTGAACATCAGGCACCGATAGCTGGAGGATACAGATGACATATAATGCATCTATATCTATGGCAATCACATATTTATCCAGATATGTATTACTACTTTGATTTTTATTATTGTGTCATCTTAGAGTTATGCTGAAGCAAAAAAAAAAAAAAAAAGAAAAAAGAAAAAACTATCAAAGACCTGATTTGATCAGCTTTGATTTGGTGAGTGAAAACATTCTCTCAGTAAAAAAAACTCAGTTGATACCTACTGAATGATATATGATTGATATTTATAAGCTTAAACTATCATCACAAAAAGCATTTTTTTCCATGCACTGATGTTTTTTCTGGTTTCTGGAGAGTTTTAGTGATAATAGAACACAGTGAAACAGGTCAGCCATGGTTTTAGGGTTGCAGCTCATACCTTAATGCAGAACCAGATGGAAAGAGGAAGGAAGAGGAGAACCAGAGTCAGGACAAACACCATCAGCAGCCACTCAAATGGTCCCAGGCTCTTACGCTTTAGACCTGCAGAAATACAGAAGGTTTTGTTCTCTTACCAAATACAGGAAATCAAACATATAGGTCTTGAAAATCTTAAATTTATGTTTAACCCAACCACATTCACCTGCCAGCATTAAAATACCATAAAACAAATGAAAAGAACCTTATTAAAACTCACCATCCTCCTGCTCCGCTGCTTCCAACAGCCCCATGTTCTCCTCCTGGACCTCGTTATCTCTAACGCGGTCTATGTCCACCACAGTAGATTTGGCCATAACCTCCTCCTTCTCCTCCTTCCCCTTCTCCTGGTTTGTCTCTGGCTTCTCCATCTGCCTCTTCTCCTTCCTGGCTGATGGAGCTCCAGTGTGGTGGCCTGACTTTGCCCGTCTCTGATCTGGATCTCTTGAAATCGCTGAAGCTCTATTCTCCCCCTCTTTACGCTGCGTCATTCTGGATCTGTGGATCGATTTAATGGTAGGAGGTTTCTCCATACCTGCTGGAAATTCAGCTGTAACCACTGTATGAGTGACAGATGTGGAGCTGTTTCCTTTTGGTGGGTCAGCACTGCTTTCCTGATATGAACGCAGAAGAATCGTTGGACCCGAACTGCTGAAGATTGGTTCTGCTGTGCCTAAAAGAGCTCTGAGGTGTCGCTCTCCAGGAATGAAACAGGAACAGATTTGGGCTGACTGAGAGTGGGAGTGAAGCAGCAGTAGGGCAGGGCCACAAGGAGTAAAAAGTTGTTTAAGATAACTTGAAACACAGGTATTCAACAGTACTGTTAGTCTTCCTTTTAAAGTAAACTTTCCAATTATTAGTGGTGTTTCTTCAGATAAACAGGCTCCTGCATTGCAATCTTGACTGATATGGAGTCTTCACAAATTTCCCCAAACTAGTGACTGTAAACAGCCCTTAGGTTGTTTGGTAAATGTTCTAAATGGTAAATGGCCTGTACTTATATAGCACTATTTTGAGTCAGGAGACTCGACCGAAGCGCATTACACTGCATTAGTCATTCACCCATTCACACACACACTGATAGTGGCAAACTACAGAGTAGCCACAGCTGCCTTGGAGCTCACTGACAGAAGGGAGGCTGCCATACCGGGCGCCACCAGGTGACACAAGGCAAGGCCGTCTGACCAACAGTAGGCAATGCAGGTGAAGTTTGCCCAAGGACACAATAACACTGACGAAGCTGGAGTCGGGGCTTGAACCAACAACCCTCCGATTGCAGGGCAAACTCTTGCAACACCACTGTCTCCCTACGTCATAACTGTGGGTTTTGTTTGGGTTAATGTGCTGGGTTAATTAAACGGCAGTTCAGGGAGTCTCAGAATAACCCAACAAGGAATGTGCTGAATCAGGCTAGCAGGAAATAATCGTCACTTTGGCACGGTGGAACATTCGATACCCTCCCCAACGTGTCGTTAATTAAACGGAATATTTTCCCAACAGTTACTTCTGAGCAGGAAATGAAACTGTCAGTGGAGTAGGTCTCTACATTCCTGCCACATCTAGAGATGAACTTACCTATTCTTCGTTGCTCAGTGATATAAGCTTGGTCAGAATAGATGTAAAGGATATTTAAAGATAACCTTTTAAATCTTGCCAAAGATGCTCAATTAGACACAGCTCTGGTGTTTGACAAGCTCATCCATTGTATCTTAAGCAGTTTTATCTGAACCTTCACACAGCTGCAAGTCTTTTGTAGCTTCTACACTGCAAGTGAGCAAAACATGCTTAAAATAAGTGTATTTCCCCATAATTTGAGTGGGTAAATAAGATGATCTGTCAACGGAATAAGTATGTTTAGCCTTAAAATGAGAAAATTTGATATTATGCACTTGAAATAAAAGACTGTGTTTGTTTTTTCTTATTTTAAAAGTTAATTGTTTTATTATTTTGGCAAAGTGTCTCACTAACCTGCTGAATTCAAGAAAAAAATGCTTTAAGAAAAATTAACTTCTACATTTTTTGCGATGTAGCAGTTTTTTTCTTTACTACCATTTATCTCCTCCCACCGTCCCGACAGCATTTACCCACTGATTTTGCTGAAGAAAAGCATCCCAACAGCATAATGTGGCCACTTCCGTGCTTCGTGGATTTAGTTTCCGATGATTAGCAGTGTAAGTTTTTCACCTGTATGCATGAACCTCTACTAGTGCAGGAAAAAAAACTCTAAATTGGACTTTCATTTTGCCACTTAGAGTCAAATCAGATTTATTGTCAATGCCTTTACATGCAGTGGTCAAACAAAGAATTGACATTACATTTCTTACTTTCCCATGCAGACATAGACATACTTTAAAATACAGACATTGACATAGACATAAA